GGGGAGTAAAAATGCAGGACATACCTGTGGCACCCTCCAACCACCCGGGCTGGGAAAGTAGTTTTGATTCATCTATGTGTCCTGTTTACTATTTACCCCTTGTATGTTGAGAATGATCAGTTTTCCTAAGTGGGTGGTTGGCGGGTGCTCTGGTGTGGTTTGCTTCTTCTTTCCTATCAAGTATCTATCGTCCTTATCCACCTTTCTTCTTTTTTAAAAATGTTTGTTACTCTCTTGTAACACCTCTAATCTTCTGGCGCTCATATGACCTTATGCAGTTGCGAGCGCCGTAAGACCTCTACTAAAACAACAAAAGTTTTCCTAAGGTTTTCCATTTTGGCGCGACTACCCTCTACCCATGTGGGTGGTTGGTGACTGTTCTGGTAAGGTTTGCTTCTACTTTCCCATCAATTATCTGTATATCTTATCTCTCCTCCCTTTTATGTTTGTTATGCTCTTGTAACACCTCTATTCTCATCTGCGGCACTTACTTATGTGACCTAATTGTGTGTTCAAGTGGCGTAAAACAGTTCCTAAAACAAACGAGACAGACAAAAACAACAGAGGGAAAGTAAAAAAAAAAAAAAAAAAAAAAAAGGCAGGACCTACATGTGGCGCCCTCCAACCACCCTCACTGGGAAAGTCCTTTGTGTCTTCTTGCTTGTCCGGTGTCCTATGCGTTAGTGGATGTGAGGGGTTAGGGTTCTATCCTTCCTGCAATGTTCACAGTGATGTTTTCCAAATGATTTCCATTTTGACGCGACTTAACCCCACACAAGTGGGTGGTTGGCAGGTGCTGTGGTGTGGTTTGTTCTTGCTCTCCTATCAAACAGCTATCGTACTTGTCTTTCATCTTTCTTTTTTGTGTTTGTCACGCTCTTGCAACCTCTATTCCGGTCTTCGGCACTTTTGTGAACTAAGTGTGTTTCAAGTGGCGTAAAACTTACAAAAAACAATCAAGACAGACAAAATCAACCGAGGAAAAGTACAGAAGATAAGACCTACCTGTGGTGTCCAACAACCATTCAGACTGGGAACGTCCGTTGTGTCTTCTATGTGTTATGTTTCCTATTTGTTAGTGAACGGA